TTCAGTCGTCAAAGGTTTACCAGAAGTGATATTGTTTCTAAAAGATGAGTATACCAACCTCACAACCGATCTGTCAGCTTTCGTGTGTTTACTGCTGGTTTGGCGAGGTTATGGAGTGCATCACTCTGCAATCGAATCCGTTATGTATTGTTTAAATACTTACTCATGGAAAATTCCCATTGTAACATTTAAAAAATCAAAACAAGTGATTCAGCGAAGAGACTCTTTTCAACGAATTTATCATCAAGCTGTACAGTCGTATATATATGGTTTATCAGAAGTTATATCCGGTGAGGGAATTGAATCTTAGGTGTGAATGCATAATAATAATGTAATAATAATAATCATATGAAGTTCAATTAAAACTAAAATGTTTGTGATTATAATCGTAGTTAAATGTCAAGTGGCAAAGCAAATTAATGTCATATATAGAATAATTCATAGGAGGGACTGTAGGGACAAACACATATTTTCGGGCCTAAATTCTCATTAGCCTTTAAACTTACATAATTAAATATCAGTCATAGACATTTGAAATAATGTGGATCAATAGAATTAAATATAATCAAGAAAAATGTAGAAAGAATTACAATAATGGTGATAATTGTAGTAATAGTAATAATTCCAATAATAAATTGCACAACTAGGATTAAAATATGCAGATATAGCAGAGCATGATAATCATAATAAAGTTAGTAGTACACATAATAAAGTGATTATTATTATTATTATTATTATTATTATAAAATTAACATATAATATATACAAATATATATCTTTCCTAATTTTTCTGACATTCAGGTTATTTTATGTTGATGCTACTGAGCTGTAATCTATCGATATTATTGATTCGATGTTATGTAAACGGCATTAATGTTGTTCATAACACTAATTCCTTCATTCACTATGATGTATATATATAACTGTAGAGCGTGATGATGAAGTTATCGAAAAGAGTACTCTTTGTTCAGTATCGATTCTTGTGAAAAAATAATGTTTACAGTTATCTCGCGTCATCAGGAGAGATTACTAATCTGAGTCGGGGTTGAAGGCCATGGAACCGAGAGGGATTGAACTAACGCTTTGGGAATAAAAAGGTTGGGCTGAAAATTGTCTTGTGGCGACTGCGTCAGCTGTGCTTTATAATGGAAGGCATGCAAACTTAGGGAATTGTGGTTCCGCCTTGAGTAGAGTTGGTTGTAAAGGTGGGGCATTTATTAGTTTTACGGTTTGAGCCCACAAGTTGTGCCAATATAGAACTCTTGATTGACTTTAAGACGCCTTTACCACCTAACCACACTGACCATGCTCAAGGAGGTGACGGTGGGCTTTCCAAGTCATTTTCTCTATGTAACTATCTTCATAAAAATTGCTAAACTTATAAATGCACACTAAAGCGGTCAGACTTGGTAGATTACCATTCACCTGTATTAAAATTACACAAAGAGTGATGAATTTAAAAACTTCGTGCTGTGGAAAAGAATGTTCATGTATTATTTTTTAGAGTTTCGATGACACCAGTGTAGTGACTGCTTCTTCCTTGCACAGTGAATTCATATATATATATATATATATATATATGTAATTTTTTCTGCGCAGTTTGCACGTATTTAGCTGTGTCTGTTCTATCCAAACGGACTTTAAAATTTCTCTTGTTATTAGTTCCCCTAAGATAAAATTCCTGTTTTTTCCATTTTATCTTCAAGAGTGTTGGTTGTGCAGATTCAGTTGCCTGATGAGGTTTTGCTTGTATACAAACGACCTCCTGACTTTGTTTTGAATATCATACTGCATTGTGGCTGCGTATTTTACCTTCAGTTTGACCATCTTTTATTATTCTACATACACCTTCCTTGATTATTTTCGATTCTACTGATCAGCATTGTTACAAATGTCTATGAATAATATTTTCCTGTATGGTGGTAAAGACTGATGAGAATTAGCCGAAAATACATATTTGCTCGCTTAAACCGTGTTCTGACTTGAATACTACACTACAGCCTGATACTGATCAGCTTGTATTACCACGTTGATCACAAATACTTTGGAACCTTTGACCAACTGTTCTAACGAAATGCTTTTCAAATTTTATCTACAAATCCTTGGATGATTTGTCTTCTGGCATTTCACTAGAGTGCCATTCTATCCAATGTTTACAAACTGTTTCCCAGCTGAGTATTACAACCATTGGGCTGAGGGATGTGATAGCCAACACAATCCTAATTGGAAGAAAGTAATCACTTAATAAATGCACCTATATTTTTGTAGAAGTCCAATTACCTAAATCATAATGCTGATTTTCGGTGGAAGAGGAGGAGTTACGATCAAGTTCAATTTCCACACATAGACAACGTCAAAGACTGATGTGCTGCAATACACAATAAAATAAGTCCATTGTGAATTGTCTTCTTAACGAATGTCCGTATATTCTATAGAACAACTATGTGTATCAGAAGAAATTCGCAGAAGGGCAGCTATATGTCTGTACCGAAAATACTCCCTAAAAGAACATCTTCGTTGAAAGAAGGAATTCCCAGTAGTCACCAACAAACCGATTTGCATATTAGTATGGATCGGTAGAAAACCATATTATTAATATTACTGTGCACAAATCAACTAGCAGTATGTCATTCAGTATGCTCGAGATAATTACGGTTGAGATTTAATTCAACTCTTTGTACAAAACCATTGCACACGTATCTAGGTGGCTTGTTTTATTCCACGGGACACCTAAATTTTCGAGCCATCAAGATGAATCGTTCCTAGTCTGTTTCAAACTGTTTTGATCTTCTAATTACCACAATGATTTGATATCTATACTCGATCACAGTTACAAATACGTTTGTACTTACGGCTGGGAATTTCTCGAACGATTAGAGGAAGGAAATTGTGGAGTAGCACTGGAGCATATTTAAGGTAAAAGAATATTGCTACAGATGATATTTTATGGATAATTGTAATATTAGAAGATTTCGCAAAATTGGTAAATACCTTCCCATGAAAATCTCTGAGAATTCTGTTTTGCGTATAAACGCATTTTTCGTTATAATGCTATTATTATTATTATTATTATTATTATTATTATTATTATTCCTACATTTGGTCAGTTTGATGTTCCACGTCCAATGACGATAAGAAGAATAAATTCATTTAATTCATTAATACCTTTGAATCAGGTTAAAATTCTGATGAACATACTACTATCCAACATGACAGTCTTATGAACATTCACTACAGGTGCATGGAAAAATTTTGATCAGTTACTTCATTATCATTTGTTTATCATTTTATGGAGGATTTAATCATGAGCTGACATCAGTTAAAGAACCATTGGAAAACCTGGGAGTACTGGACAGCTGTTTCCTCCGTCCTAGTTTGGGACTACTCAGCAGTACGCACCCACCGGGATTCGAACCCAGGACCTTCTGGTTACAAGGCGAGCTCATAGACCATTGAGCCACTGGGACCCGATCCAACGGTCTTTGAATTCTAACTTCTGCCAATTCACGACATAGCGCGACCACTTCGCAATGTCTTCTTCGATGAGTTACTGCCTCATCTTCAACCTGCTGTACCCTACTGGTCACGGCTTCCCACTAGAACCCCAGGTTAACTGCCTGAATAGGGCCAGTCACTAGTGAGCATCAGATTAATTTTTCAAGTATTGGTTTTGTAGGGATTTTGTTTGATTGCATGGAGGATTTAATCATGAGCTGACATTAGTTAGAGAACCATTGGAAAACCTGGGAGTACTGGACAGCTGTTTCCTCCGTCCTAGTTTAAGACTCCTCAGCAGTACGCACCCACCGGGATTCGAACCCAGGACCTTCTGGTTACAAGGCGAGCTCATAGACCATTGAGCCACTGGAACCCGATCCAATGGTCTTTGAATTCTAACTTCTGCCAATTCATGATATAGCGCGACCAGTGGCTCAATGGTCTACGAGCTCGCCTTGTAACCAGAAGGCCCTGGATTCAAACCCCAGTGGGGTGCGTACTGATGAGGAGTCCCAAACTAAGACGAAACAGCTGTCCAGTACTCTCAGGTTTTCCAACGGTTCTCTAACTAATGTCAGCTCATGATTAAATCCTCCATACAATCAAACCAAATCCCTACAAAACCAATGTTTGTCATTTCTTTAGAAATTTCATTGGTTACATGGTTTCATCATGAAATGAAATCGGTTAGAGGACCATTGGAAAACCCGCAGGGAAAACTGGAAGCTGTTTCATCCCAGTTTTTGGACTCTTCAACAACAAGCTCACACCGCCAGTGTTTGAACCTAGGACCTTCTTGTTACAGGGCGAGCGCGTAGACCTCAAGTTATTGGGACCCGATCCAACCCGAACCCTCGAGGAGTGTGTGTGCTTACGAAGAGTCCTAAATTGGGTCGAGACAGCTGTAAATTACTTCCAGGTTTTCCAGTGGTCCTGTAACCGATTTCAGCACATGATGAAATTCTGTTGTCAACCAGATCAAATCCCCGCTAACCAATATTCAAAGTTTGATTATCTTTTGTTTTCACAGAGTTTTTCAACAAACTTTGGAATTTAGTCGAGACAGAATTTGACATATATATCTTTACTAGAATAATTATGAGATGCTTAAAACCCTTGGATTTTATTACGAAACATTTCAGGATAAATGGTGACAAATTAGAAATCAAAATATACACACTGATATGAATGTATTCAAGTAGAAGTGATATCTTCTTACGCTACTCATAACTACTTCTGACTATCTTCATTCTTATTTAAGTGTTGGTTTGTAGGGATTTGGTTGGTTTCAGGATTTCAATACCAATGAGCTGCTCACTGGCGACTGGTCCTATTCAGGTAGGTAGTTACCTGGGTTGCAGTGGGAAGTCGTGACCAGTAGGGTGCAGCGGGTCGGGTGTGAGGACAAATACTCGCCGAAGACATTGGCTAGCGGTAGCGCTATGTCGTGAATCGGCAGAAGATAGAATGCAAGGACCATTGAATCGGGTCCCAGTGGCTTAATGGTATACGAGCTCGCCTTGTAACCAGAAGGTCCTGGGTTCGAATCCCGGTGGGTGCGTACTGCTGAGGAGTCCCAAACTAGGATGGAGGAAACAGCTGTCCAGTACTCCCAGGTTTTCCAATGGTTCTCTAACTAATGTCAGCTCATGATGAAATCCTGAAAATATGTTGATTCTATTGACAGGTGAATAATTCACTTTTCTTCATTTGTCGTTAATATCATTCTCCAGTCATTTATTATGCATTGCCTAATTCTTCAATTCAGCATATCTGTATATTATATCCAGTTTCATGTTGATGATTGGAGACGGTCACCTGAAAATGTTTTGTGCATGTCTTAGAGGATATCAGCAGTGTGCATATTATTATTATATTATTACATATCCTGATAAGTTTCATTTCGCAAGTCATAGATACATATCACTCATCATATTGCCGTTGAATAAGGCTGTCCACAGTGCTCTGAGAAGGATTATTTTTCTTCACACAAGTAAACACACGAAAAGTACCTTTCACAACTGTTTCATAAAAACACGATGTTCAACAGACTCAAAACCTTAAACAATCTGTCATTAGTGGAATAAGTGCAACAATGTCAGCCTCATAATTACAAATCTAGACCACAAAGATAGGCTAAAAGTATACAAGTTACAGTTACATCTAGAATCCCTATTGACTAATTACGATAGGTTGGCTGAATTATTATGACAACAAAACAACCAATTGTCATAAATCTCTCATTAAAAATCACACTGACTAGAAAAGATTGATTGATCGCCGATAGCTAGATGTTGGATGCGAAAATAAATTAAAAATTTTTAAATTCTGTATCAGGATCGAAGTTCATAGTGTTTTCAATTGACAAATTACAAATAAAATAATAACTCAACAATAATATAAATAAGTTTTTAAAAAAATCTTGTTAATTTATGAGATTAAGAAGTTTGAAAGCAAGATCAGTAAGTTGTTAAAGACGATGGTTTCGTCATTTTTATTTGATAATATTGAACCTTCAAACATTTAATTTATAATTCTGTTGATATACATAGAATTGGCTGCTGTCTGTACATTCTATGCTTCTGTCAATGATCACTGTTTCAGATTTCATTAGATATTAAAGTCGACTCTGAATTGAAAATCGATTGGCATATATACTATCGTATGAGAGAGGTAGTGGGTTTGTGTGCGACAATAGCTTATCATATGACATAAGCGATTGAGCGCCAACAATCTATGAGATGAAGCATGTAGCATACTGACTGAAAATGGTTAAAATCTAATGAATTCGTAATAGAAAGAAACATGAGATAGACTGATTACGGCCCCATTGCTGTATTCAATCTCGCAATGACCAGCGAAAAGAAAAAAGGAAGCAGATATGCCCAGAGTGCAATTACCAGACACATTATTGATACCGGACATCTCGTAGAGATTTCTAAGTCCTTCAAAATATTAAATAGACAAAGGACAGCAAATTTACTACGATTTACCGAAGCAATCGCAATCAAAAGACTTAAACCAGACTTATGCAGACTTATGCTTTCATTTAGATGCGTCAATTTTATAGTATCTCTTTTCTACCACCACTCGAACATTAAAGTACGTTATTATCATCTATACAACCATTGTAATTTCAGGTAGTATGCAGCTGATGAGAACCTGTGAAATAGAATGATATCATTTTATACTGCAAATTTCGTCTTCCTTTCTTTATCGAAAAAAATAGACGGATAAATTAAAGTGGGCACTGTGGTAGAATTTAATTCCACACTAGATAAGTTTGTTTGAAATGACACACAGAGTGTGCAGTATTATTAACTGGATGACGTTTTGGGCACAAATTATTGCTCATAATCAAATTACCTGATTTAATTTCTACATCTCACTACCACTGTTACTGACTTGACCAACGCTCAATTTCTAGTCATTTATGTTACATCATCCAACTTAATTGCTCAATTTCAGTTCTAATTTAAATGGCATTATTATCTACCCCACTTCTACTTAGTCTCTACCTGTGATTACCTCTGTTGTTACCCTGACCTAAGTTGAAACATTTTATAAAATAAAATAAATAATTACAAATAAAAAAATTCTAATGCTTTCTCCCTGTCTCACCTTATTCTGTGATGACATGCAAGTGCAATGGTCTAGCTTTTTTCTAGGTTACTCAACTTAGCAGGGTCAGTCATTCCAGATCCAGCTAAATTACTGTGTTCCAATGATTTACCTGACCCTCATCTACTACCTTGACCTATGTAATTGACCTCACAGGCCAGAGATGTATACGCCACATACTTTTGGCACGATATCTTCATCCAACCGTATAAAAATTCATTAGTAAGACTACTGCCCTTAGTATTTGCAACATACACAATAGAAGCAGTATTGACGTTTATTCCAATTCATGTATCAATTTCTACTCCATAGCTTTTATTCTTGCGATTGCCCACTGACAACTGATACATGCAACCTAATTATCATCGTCTGACAGACAATCGATTAAGTAATAAACTGTTTATAATGTGCTTCACCAAGTAGAAAATTAGCATAGAATTAAGTGTGAATACTCTGTCCCACATTAATTTACTTCATACTCGCGCTTCACCATGCAGTCAATTAATTCTTTGAAATATTGTGTGCTTGTTTTACCATTCTATAGGTCACAAAATGGGAGATAAAACAGTGCGATTCGACAGTTTGAAACAATTGCGCTTGAGTCTGAGACCAGGTAGCCTTTTACACTTCTTTGTTTGGGTAAGAAATAAACGTCTTGTTGTGAAAATAATTTGCACAGATGATAATTGATGCATTCTTGATGCTTTTGGTAACCCTGACAATGATTGTAATGGTGAATAAAGTGTAAGATTGGATCTCATTATCATTTTGATGAGATAATCTTTATTGTTTGCCATAGTAAACAACTTTGTATGTGGATTGAATATAACAGCTGGATAACAATTGTTCTGATGTAAGTTAATTTCTTAATGTTTATCAGTGATGTATATTAACGTGGAAACTGCACAAACATTTAGCTTTCTGTCGGAAATTTCATTAATGGTTCATTAATCAATATTAGATTTTCTGAAAATGTAGTTCACTGCAGATATATTCTTTCATCAGTCTACTTACTGACTGAACACTTAACTAATAATGGTCAGTAGGATATATTGGGCCACATTACGAAATGTATGTAATTGGTGTATGTAATTGATTCTGATAACACTTACAGTCTGTCAGACATCATATTACATGTATGCTATAATCGTAGTACAACTGTAATTCCATATTAATTTGTTTATTAGATATATCACACAGTGAAACAGTATTATTTACTGGATGACACAGTTTCAAACACAATCTATTATTTCAGGATTTCATCATGAGCTGACATTAGTTAGAGAACCATTGGAAAACCTGGGAGTACTGGACAGCTGTTTCCTCCGTCCTAGTTTGGGACTCTTCATCAGTACGCACCCACCGAGATTCGAACCCAGGACCTTCCGGTTACAAGGCGAGCTCGTATACCATTGAGCCACTGGGACCCGATCCAATGGTCCTTGAATTCTAACTTCTGCCAATTCACGACATAGCGCGACCGCTAGCCAATGTCCAGTACTCCCAGGTTTTCCAATGGTTCTCTAACTAATGTCAGCTCATGATGAAATCCTGAAACCAATCAAATCCCTACAAACCAACACAATCTATTATTGTTCATAATCATGTCAATTATAATCACACGACTTCGAAACTTGAGTTTTATATTTTTCTTTATCCTCTCATATTTGTCGTCGTTGGGGTAGTCGAATTTTCCAGATATCTGGGACAGGTGTTGAATCATTCCTATTACATGTATTTGAAGTTGATTGCATAAACAAAGCTTCCGTCATCAATCTCTCCCTCCACCCTGTGACATTTGACTTTAAAACTGCCATACTATCTCATCCAGCCTATTGTATGGTTGTGTGTAACTGCATGCAGTGAGTGCTATCTACGGCTGGACTATTCTCTAGATTTCTTATCTTATTCGGGTCAACCAGTCTAGATTTTGCTAGGTTTTTATGCTCGGCTAGTCTGACTGACCCTATTCTACTAGTTCGACCTATGTATTTGATTTGACAATCATCGCAGGTAGGGTATTAGATAAAATAGATTGTTTTGTTTTATTGGCTCCACTGGTGGGATCCTTTAACCGACAAAGCTTGTTTCTAATTGAGTTTGTGGGCGGTTTGAATGCCAGCGACTTTTATTCCTGCGTGCATTGTTAAGAATTCTACGTAAGGTTTCCGAGGTTCCTTCCTTGTATGGGATTACCACTGTTGATTTAGATTCCTTATTGTTGGTGTCGTCATTAATATTAATATTATCACTATCGCTACTATCATTATTTATTTTTAGATTTCCTTACATATTTCTTGACTAATTTATCTGGATAATTACTAAGTTTAAAGGCTTCTTTTATGTGTATCATTTCTTGTCTTAGGTTTTCTTTAGTACTACTTAGTTTTTGTTCTCTGTCACTTAAACATTTCACTAATCCTATTTTCCCTGACATAGGATGGGATGATTTGAAGTCCAATTATCTGTTTGAATGTGTGGGTACAACTGTGTTTTTAATTTGATGAAGGAAATAATTCATCACTGTAACATTTTGCTTTCTACAATCAAGTAGAAAACAACAACATAATTAAGTTTTCGGATTTATAACAGACTCTGTGGTCACAGTATTACTCAATCTGTTCAAATTAATTTCTTTTTCAGACTTATTGAAACGCTTCCAGTTCTTCTTCTCGCATTACTCAAACTACTTGGATATCGCCGTGACATTGATCATTTTCTCATAGGATTCAGTGTAAGTGTTTCAGTTCTGCTGTTTTACCTCAGTCAACTGGAAACTAATTAAAGCGGTACGAAAAATATTCGTATTACTTACAACTTGTGTGATTTTCGTAATTATCAAACGAACATGATATTTCATTCTTGTTTGTTCTTATGCTAATCTATTCTTGTGTATGATTATAATCACGCTTAGTTGATGCTTTAGCATGTTTCAAATGGTTTAGACTGATAAATGATTTCGGCTTCATGGTGAATGGAACAAAGGCGAATGTCACACTTAGGTAGAAATCGAGTGAACCAATTCAAACAACGACAACAACAACCTAACTACAGTTTTGTATGTCCTTACTACATGATGAAGCTAAATTTAAGATTTCGCAGACGAAATTAGCATTATAAAATTCATAGATCAAGATAGGCGTGTGGGGTGTGACCTTTACTATCATATGGCGTGGCTATACAGAATTATTTTCGTCATTTTTTCATTACGCCCTTTGTCTTTTGAAGTTGTTCATTAGAAATATGAAATGTGTATTTTTTGTTGTATATTCCTGTCTTTGAGAATTAGAGCATATCTTTACTAAGCAACTGGAACCAGCGTTCACCTTGATTGAAGTCGTAGTTTTCTCAGAGAGGTCAAATAAAAATTGTGTTTGTCTACTTTATCTGACGATGTATAGCGAGTGGTCGAGTGAATGCAACATTCAGGGATACAAATTGATACACATGAGTTCGCATTCATTTGAGCATCTTAGCAGTATGGATTAGCCCACTAGTCATCTACATGTGATAGTCCTTCCCATTCTAGTTTTACATTGTCCTGTCCCAATCACACAGGATTAATACCTATCCTACCATACCCCTTGACAATTAAATGGAATATCTGTCAGACGTATTTCTCACAGCTGTCAAATATCAAATATGAAATGATACACTATGCGTCAAATAAGAACTTACTTCCCAATATTATAATGTAATGCGATTGATTTCAGATCAGTGATACGCCATGAAATACTTCGATTACTGTTGTGCATTACTGACTGTTTTGTGAGAAGATATTTTTAGTTTGAATAAAGTGATAGAGATTAAGAAACGTTTCGGAGACATATGGATTAATTCACAAGTTCAAGGGTTCTCTAATCTTTCTTTGTGAATTCTTTGATGCACCATACAATTTTACAATATGAACTTGAACAAAACAAGAACGAAAAATGCAACAGGATAATATGAAGCCATTCTCTAATATTTCACAGATGCTTCTTAGGTGGTTATAAAGTGAACAACAGAAAAATGAAAAATCCCATAAATGCCTTGAACATACTTTTATTCGATGATGATAATAAATGATTGATTGTACCTTCAATCTGCGGTTATTAAAGATAATCAACAATCAGAAGAAGTCTAACCTGCTGTGTTCAGTTGAATCAGTCATTATCAGACGGTTACAACCAAATCTTTGTAAGCAGACAAAGACAGTGATGAGGCTTTCACTGGCTTGATGATTGAACTTACAAAGCAAATATATACAATTTTGATATACACTATGTGCAGTCTCCTGTATCTGTTTGGAAAATTTTACCACTTCATCTGAACGTTATCCACCTCACCCTTTGTTTACTGTTTTATAAAGCCATATTTGTTGTAGTTAGTTAACCAACTGTATTGATACACTGTTTCTAGGCGCACTCTACTTCTACCTAAAATATGCTGAAATCTATTTTCTCAGAGACTCAACCTACTCTCCTATAAATGATTAACCCTTTTAGCTGTTAGTGATTTGATAACTCATAATATTCCGGACATGTGTTATTTAGAGTTCCTACCGATTATACTTTTCATAGCGAACAAAGTTGGCTCAGGTCTCTAGTGTAATTTATATTTCTGTATTCATCAAAGTGTAGCCGCATGAAAGGAAATCACAGGATGATAAAGAATGATATTTAAGTATTGATTGATTGGTTAAAGGATTTCATCATGAGCTGGTTAGAGAACCACTGGAAAACTTGGGAGTACTGGACAGCTGTTTCGTCCTAGTTTGCAACTCTTCATCAGTACGCGCCCACCAGGGTTCGAACCCAGTACTTTCTGGTTATAAGGTGAGCGCGTAGACCATTGAGCCACTAGATTTGAACCTCAGTTGGTGCGTACTGCTGAACAGTCCCAGACTAGGACGAAACTGCTGTCCAGTACTCCCAGGTTTTTCAAAATGGTTCTTTAACCAATGTCACCTGATTATGAAATCCGATAACTGATAAAGGATGAAGTTACATTATCCTGGTACATTTGTGGTTCTTCCTTTGATCAGGTCCACTAACAGAAAGCCTTATATCAAGTTCCATAATGTGTTTAGTTAGATCAAATATATATATATATATACATGATGCAGCAGTTATCGCAGTAAATAATATTTTACGGAAAATATGCTAACATTTCAAAGCCGTCTTTACTCGAATTCGAATGGAATAACTCAATGGACTTCCACGAGATAAGAAAAGCGAGAGAAAGAGATAGTGTGTCTTGAGATTTTAATTAAAACACTTATTTCCGAAGACTTTAATCTATGCCAAATTATTCACGACAGTTCCTTGTCTGTATATCTCACAATTCATTAGTTCTATGATATATCCGATGTAAACTGGATAGCGATTTCCATCCTTCAAGTAGACATCTACTCTATAAGAAATGCATACAAATAAGTTTGTGCATTCGTTCCTCAAAAACTTGCCATCATTCTTTCAGTTTGATTTTTATTTGGTAATCAATGATACTAGAAGTAACCTCTACGAAGTATTTTTTTTACCATTTGTCTCTGACTTCTTTCTTTTTAGTTCGTACTATGTTCTATGGGTTTCGCCACTATGGTGAAAACCATTTATTTATTTACAGCTCTGACGGCCATTGGTTTGACGGTTTTGTTGACTGGACTTATGCTCTTTCTGGCTCTATATTTGAGAGATTCAAATTTGCTATTTACCACTACTCTTTTCGTAATTTTGTGTGTTTCGATAGTCGCTGGACTTATATTGTACATTATCGAAGCTACATTAGATAAAGGAAAGGTAACATTTGAATAATTGAATTTCTTAACAGATTTGAAATATGGTATTAGGTGGTTCTAGGCAATCGGCCACAGGAAGCCTTGGACCTAGGTTTCGAGTTAGTTGGCACTCGTGAGCAAGGCGTATCTGCAACCTTGAAGGAACTCATGTCCCTTCTGAGATTCGCACCCGCTCAGTGGTAAAGTCTCTGACTGCAGCGCCGGGTGAGGCGGGTTCGAATCTCAGAGGGCAGATGAGTTCTTTCAAAGCTGTAGATACGCCTTGCTGACGAGTGCCAACTAGCACGAAACCTAAGTCCAAGGCTTCCTGTGGCCAATTGCCTTCAACCATTTAATACCATCATATCAATGTGCACCGTGATGGCAAGCTAGCTAGAATGGTGGTCACATTACAACCTGACTGATAAAATTCAGTCTGCACCAATCAGAGGACTAGACGCATCACACTAGTTATTAGTGTCAAATCAAAAAATTTGAAATATCTCAGTAGCATGCACAATACTTTATTTGAAACAGTTAACTTCCTTTAAGACGGGTTTGTTGAACATGTGATGCTGTCTTAGTGACAGCAGTCTCTCATTAGATTTCAAGCTTTACGAAGGTTGAGAATCGAAAAAAGTGAGATATTATCGCTATTACTGTTAGATTAGTGGAAGTAACCCCTTGAACGGTGGTATTACACTTCTATGCTTTATTATGCGTATTGACAACGGTATGAATAGAATTCATCATCAGAAAACGTAACTGTGAAGATAAAAGTTAACATGACATTTTGTGTATCTATCGATCGTGATATACAGCAGACGTTCAACTTTACTCAATGCTGTCGGTTTTAGTGACTCTTTTGAAATAGACTAACTTATGGTCACCAACTGTCAAAGAATATTTAATCTGATTTTTGAAATAGATCGTCATCAAGTAAATGCAAATGCATATATACATAATAGATAAACTAGCCATAGCAGTGTGTACACGGCCGATTTAGCGATAATTTCAGTAACTGTATTTCTGTGTGTTGACCTGTAAACCTAAAACTTCGACTTATTTTTAACAAATATCCTCCCTTGTTATTTTCATCTTTTTAAAAGGTGTTGAGGATTGCCACTGGAGTTTGTTTCCTTTTCGCTGTGATATTAGTAAGTTCCACTGTAATATAGTCATAAAACTGGAGTTATCAGTTTATTGCTAACAGTTAGACACTCTTATATATTTGGGTAGCTCATTGCTTAAAATCGAAACAAATTAGTTTTCGTCATATCTACAAATGTGTATATGGTGCACATAAAATAACATTTCATAAGTGAATCATTCATTTTAGGAAAAAACGTACAAATCATTATTAAGATGATGAATTTAACTGCCACTGAACTTGCAACAGAATAGATTAGCACGAAACCTGAATTCATCTGACTCTAGGTTTTTCTTCATTGCTTCTGAATGAATGGAAATAGATAGGTAGACTGTATTCATTGTTTTTAGCTGTCAATTCCCTATTTGATAAATGTGGAATATCGCATCAAATATTTTGATATTCGCCGAATACGATGCAAAATGTTTCACTATTCAGTTTAGAGAAAAGGTAAAAATCCCTAAATAAAGTGATAAACTGTATTGCTTTGTGAAGTCAACTGTTACATATTACGTAACTGGAATGAAAGGAATTCATCATCTGCACATGAACCTAAAGACTTTAATAGAGTTAGTGAGTGTTTTCCACTCTCCTATATGTCACACGTTGTTTTACATTCTCTGAATAAAATCAGAAAACATCTGACTAAACTGCCCAAAGTATTATTATTATTACTGTTTCCTTGGTGAAACATAGGGCTTTAACTGCACGTCTCCATTTGCTTCTGTCTTCCTTCTGCTGTACTTTTCACCTGCATCCATGTTAGTCCATACTCTCTCCACTCCTCTTCACACGATCTCCTCCATTTCACCCTCGCGCTGACATCCCACTCGCCGCTTGCTTCCCTTTCGGCCTGGTTCCACTCGAGCAATGGTCTGACGCGCGCGCGATGTCACCCAGCGGCCTCCTCGGTCAGCGAGTGTCCAATCCATCTCCACTTCCTCCTGCATATTTGTTGATTGGTGGTTGGTTCTTGTTTTGTTTTGTTCGTTCCCAGCCATAGTTTCTTGTTGGTGATTCTTTCCGACACAGCCATCTGATTTTCAGTATAGAGCGAAGACAGATGTTTGTTGATAAAGGTCTGCAATAGCCTGTTGGAAATGTTCTTTATGACCCACCCGCCAAGTTTCTGATCCGTATAGAAGAACTGACTTGACGTTATTTGTATTGAAAATCCTAGCGAATTTTGTTGTTGATTCTGGCTGAGTGACGAAGATTTCCAGATTGGTTTCAGGTTGATGAATGTGTTTCTGTCCAAAGTACGGAACGCCAAATTGAATATGCTCATTGTTTGAGCCCGAAAACACTAAATTACTCAATCGTTTGGATAGAAGGCTTATTTATTTTAAATGATCACACAACTCTTCATATAAAAGAAATGGTTCAATGACATGTTTGTAGGCAGACATTTTGATTATTCATAGTTCAGATTCATTTTCCTAGATGCAATGTTCAACCAGTAACATTCGGTCTTGTGTGAATTAGATTGAATGGTGCTGAAAACTCGCCTACTAGAGATGCATCTACATGTTACTGTCGTCGTTCATTTGTATCAGCAAATTACTAACACACTATGTATATGAATAGGGCAAATATATGATAGAAATAGTGTTACCTTCAGTCAAGCATTTTATTCTGCTTAATTTTCTTTTATTGTAGGCTGTTTTCTTGACGGTGAATAGACTGAGATTTTGCATCGCATTTAAGGATGTTTATTGCACAATAATATTTCGAGCATTTTGTTTATGGCTGGAAATGCTTATATTGTTTGCGTCAATTTACTTTCCCAGTTATGATCCTCAAACGCCATGTTCAAATGCATAAAGGCATCAATAATTTTAGTCTAATTATGATAAATCACTCCTGGTAAATAAATGTTTATGGTTTTGAATCTCTTCAAGTCTTCTTCAATGATATACTACACAGTTTGACAATGGAAATTGTTAGGCTGGTGAATCCGAAACATATGATAAGCTAATGATAAGGAGATTCGTTGATTTGTAACACATTGAATAGGTAGTAAACGCAGTTGACAGATGGAGACAGGTGAAATCACATATCAAGATTCGCTTTCATTTCAAAACATTAATGTGTATATGATATATATATATATTCCCATAATCTACTCATAAGTTTTGTTCAATTGCATGGAGTTTTCTGGGTAAAAGGATACCACTTTTGTCATTCCAGAGACACTTAAAATCTCAAAGTCTTCTACGAGATGTCATAGTAATCATAAGTGTTAAATGAAAGATTACATCTGGTCAGTATTTTTACTTTCACAACCAGTCCTATGAAACAATTGTATTATTACTTATTATTGTTTCCTTTAATTCCTAGAGGAACTTAGTTTAAATTCCTAGAGGAATCGCAGTCTGGATGATAGTAGAAATATGTGTTACTAAATAATAGTCACTATAATAAAGGTTTTCGTATATCCTAATGTGTTACTAAAATTTATATTCATATGCATCAATATGTGGCCAGCCCAAATCACTGGGCTACCAGAATTTCCATCCATTTTGTATTTAAAACGTTGACGGTTCTTAACTATCCGGAAAAATTCCAGGTGGACAAAATTAAAAACGATGCAACAACGCCACTTGAAAATAAATTCAAAAAATGCCTCAAAGAACTTATCAGGAAACTAATCAACGACGGAATATATAGTGAACTTAGGTGAATACTTCCCGTCTATGTGCGGTGAGCCAGAATTCCATAAGGCCAATTTGTCATTGCGCGTCGGTGACACAGTGGTTAGGACTGTCGCCGACCATGCACATGGTCTGAGGTTTGATCCCCTTCCGATGCACACCTGATATCTATGGTTGGCCTGCGAAATTTGGGCTACTGATATCCATGCTAAAAATTCTATACTTGTACCGAAAATACAGTGTGAAATCAAGCAGTAATCAAAAAAATTATCAATAATTAATTAACAATACCACAACCTATCTCGATGGCCAGCTGATTACCTGGGGCTCATTTAAAACCAATTTGAAATCCATAGCTTGAAATATAACTTCCAATTTTTCAAAGAAGTAGATTGGGACGATATATCGAAGAAGCTCATGGTATCGTAGGATGTGATCACCTTGTTCACAAATGTACTAGTGAATGTAACAGTTGACATCATCTGTCAACAAACAGATCAGTTACCAGTACCCAAAACAGAGATGAAGTGCCTACTACTTCTTCACACAAAAGACGTTTAATTCAAATTCAACAAACAGTTTTATTAACAAGTTGGTGAGGTGGCTATGGTTTCACCTCTAGGACCTATTTTGGCCGGATTCCGCATGGGTTATCTCGAACAGACTCAACTGTGTTCTGTTAATAATGAAACAACCTACTATCGCCGGTATTTTGCTGATACGTTTGTTGTTTATAACGACAATAATCACGTGTCTGTATCATCTCACCGTCTCAATGAGATACAGAGAAATACTAAATCCATCATGGAATGTAAACATGATCATGAGTTCAGTTTCCTGCGTTTGAATGGATGGATGTTACGATAGAAAAGTCTGTCTAAAGAAAATAAACTTGGAGTGAAAAATATCTTCACTATAACAGTTTCTGTCCTATAAACTATAAAAGCAAATTAGTGAGGAAACTATACGATACAACTAGGAAGCTATGTGTCGCCCAACAAGGTGGAAGAAGAATTATAATTTTCTGAGAAATGCATAGTGTAGTATGGATATTCAAAGGAACTTATCGAAAGAAAAGGTCTAGAATACGTGACACTGTACACCTTTGCATACTCTAAAAGGCAGTCTAAACTGGATAAGTACCCTGATGATATCAATTCTAACTGCGTTTATAAATTTACCTGTACTCGAGGAAACAAGTATATTGGAAGAAGAACCTCTATCCGGTTTCTTGAGCATATTTCAAGAAATTCATGTTTGGAATGGTAGCAGATATTCGCATAGTGTAATTACCAGTGACATTGTAGATACGGGTTATTTCGTCGAGATTTCCAAATCCTTTAAAATATTAAATTTACAAAAGACATTGAATTTATTACGATTTGCTGAAGCAATTGCGATCAAACGTTTCACACCGAACTTATGTATACGGAAAGAAAGTGTAATCGCTGTCTCACAGCCTTGGTAGCTGCATTTTGATTACATTTATTAGTCATACATGATAGTGACTTCAGCTCACTAAGAAAGCTTTGGACTGATGAACTATTACCTTCTTGATTTGCTATGTGAACTCTGCCTTTCCCTTTAACACCTTTTTTATTTCAAAAGCATATAAATTGAAGGTAACGTGCATTTTGGATGTATTAACATTAGAATGTTGTCTCTACTACCATTCAAATAGTTAGGCATGTTATTGGTAATTTTTATAACAATTGCAATTTCTGGTAGTTTGCAACTTATGAGAATCTGCGAAATAGAGCTATGATATCATTTTATGCTGCAAATTGAGTCTTTCTATATCCAAACTTAGCAGGCAAATCAAATGTATAGGATTCTTGATTATTTTGGAAGACACGGTTGATGCCCCGTTATGCCTAATAATACATTTATGATAGTAGACATCTTATTCGAGAAAACAGATCGTTATCATTGACAAAACGTGTTCATCAAGCGTACATGACTAAAGGGGTTGTATGCTGGTTAATGTTTAAATCCTAATCATTTCTATATTGAAACCATGTGAAATAGGTTGGTTCTTAATTCATCTGCTTAAATCGTCCAGTTGATGCAAGAAAATCTCACAAAACGTATACCAAATCTGAGAACAGGTTTGAGAGCCAATAAGACTTGAGTGGAAAATAACTGTGAAGAATAATAGGGCAAGATTAAAATCTAAGCATAAACAAAATAAGTTCTTCCTTTCGTTGCTAAATAAAAGAGTGGATGATAAAAGATAACATGTTCAACTCAATGTCTTCTGCCTTGTTTCCACCAACATTCAAAGCAACCGAGAAGAATACTAACGTAATTTGGATACACTTTATCACAGATATCAAACCTCCATATTTTATTTGGAGTGAAGTGCTAAGTCATGGAGCAAAACTCATGCAAGCAAGCCAGAAGCACATTTCACAGAATGGACGATCATACAGCTAAATAATCACAAACTACATGTTATAAATGCCTTCAACGTAGATTTTCACAAAATCCTTAACAGTCACCATTTGACTGGTTCAGTTATCACACCTTAATCTGCCTATAATCTTGACAGCATGAAAACGTGTACACAATGGTAGCTTCAGCTTTTTTGTAGGTGATCGCTGTAGCAATAAATGTGAAATAAGCCCCACATTTGATGACAACATTTCCTTATTCTGAATTTGCGAATATTCAGATTAAAATATCAAATGTGTGTTCAGCAAGGGTTAAACTTTTCATAATTTAGCTTAATTTGTATTTGATAAATTTGCTTCTGTCTGGTTAGTGAGCAACTGTGAGTAAAATATTAAGAATCTACAGTTAACTGTGACAACGTAATAACGACCAGTAGTGATACAAATGGACAGCAAATTCTACACGAAAGTAAATGCCTTAGATTCTTGTTAGAACAATGATTGAGGTCAGATATATGACTCGAAAACAGGACATGTAGTCGACTAGAGTGAGTATTCATGAAGTCTAAGTAGTTATCACATTCCATGCCATTTATACGGTGAAACTATGATTTTTATGCAAAGAGCACGTGATGAATAGGATGAATGCATTGAAATATGTTATAACACATGAAGGACGTTGAAAGAACTCCTTCATCTACCAATACACATTCACTTAATAAAAATCATAATTTTTTCGAACAGTTGATTATATAATGAAATACTGCAAACCTTTGCATTTTAACATATAATTAAGCAGCATTCGATGGGTGTTCCCCTCAACTATTACAAATGTTTCATATGATTGATTCTTATACCTTCCATAACCTGAATTTGTAGATTTGTTAGTAGCTTTGTAATTCGCATAACATAAATGAATTTTTTGAAAAAAACTATGTGTTGGCCGATAGTCATTGACCAACTACTTGTTGAATGAGGTGAAGATTTGTTTTCCTCTAAATACACTATTCTTCAGAAAAAAGTAACAACTGATTTGACATAATGAGGAAAATCTCATGAAGGCAGCTTTCGTTTGCGTGGATAATCACATAGCAAACCCCTGTAGTTCTCGAACTTTCGTTCCTAAGAGTTCCATTGATACTTCAATTTCAGTAACAGATACCTGTATACATATATCATATTCTATCCCCAATAATTCCTTCCATATTCAGTGCCCACCATGGAGACAGTTTATTTTCGGAAATATTGTGTTTACTTATCAACTTTCTGCAGGTCACAAAATGTCACGTGAAACCATGGGATTGGAAAGTTTGAAAAATTCACTTTTGAGTTTGAGACTTAGTAGCCTCTTAAACTTCTTCATCTGGGTAAGAAGTAATCTATCCTTCTTAAAATGGTTCGCATAGATGATAACTGATACATTCATAATGCTTTTACTGACAGCAGGAATAACTGTCATGGCAAACAAAGTGTAACATTGAAGCTACGTATTACTGTAAAGTATTTTTTCATTTCATAGAATGCGCCTTTGAAATTGAATTACTGATCCATATTAGTTTGTTAACTAGATGTATCACACAGTGAAAGAGGATTATTTACTGAATGACAATGTTTCGAACACATTTTA